CGAATTGTGTATGACTAACAACAACTTCTGTGCTTTTTCGCGTTGTCTTCGTGTGTTCTTTCAATGAGCTTTGTGGTACTCTAGGCCGTAAAATGAGAGGGTAGATTATGTTGCTTTTGTACCTTCCTTTCTTTGATAGAAAATTGTTTCATATCTAAAACAGTATACGCATTATAATGATAAGTCCCGGGTCACTAAGTTTTATACTCATAAGAGAGGGAAGAGAGGGGGGCCACGTAGTGAGCGAGGGCGTCTGATTTGTGGGACCTAGAAAATATTTTTAGTTAGGAAGTAAACGACACGAGGTAAGTTTTCGGGTGATTTAAAGAGTCATACGGGTGAGGGGAGGGATGTTTTTTGGGAATCTTTTGTGATGCTCATATTTTGAGTGTTCTTGGGAGAGGCAGGGAGCTCTCGGATCTCTTTGTTTGTGCTCTGTTATTATAAATAAAATTGGGACTTAACATAATCCAAGGGGTTGTCCTCCCTCTCCCGAAGAGGCAAATGTCGATATTTTGCTCTGTAGACAATGACTGTACTCTTCTTCAAGAACCTGCTTTGTTCTACTCATGTGGTGCTGATTCTTCTAATCATGTTTTTTAGTTGGGTTTGAGCATTTTATTGGTATTTTGGGGGCTTTGGCTTGTTGAATTTTGTGTTATTTTTAGGTTGAATTGGATGAAATTTGAAGTTTAAGATTTTAATTGATTCACTAAGAACGTTGGTTTTTTCGTTTCGTACTTCTGCTAAGCATCATGACTCATGATACTTTAGTCAGCCATTCCCCAATATTTTCATCTAATGCATGAGCTTTACCTGTTTTTCGACCTCTCTTCTCTCGGGTACGTACCTAAAACTTCTGTATCCATGGCAGCTCATTAGATCCTCGGTTACAAGACGCGCTCAAGGACTACCTAATCAGTAGAGGCGTTGAAGAAAGTCTCACCAACTTCCTTCTACTTCACGTGCATAAAAAAGAGCAAGGTCAGTACTTGAACTGGTTGCAAAACCTCGAGTCATTGGTAGCGAAAGGGCAACCGAACGAACTTTAACGAGTTCACATTGTACCCCGGGGGCCGTTATCTCTTTACTAGCAATCACCCTTTACCTCATTTTCATATGGGAAGATAATGCCAAATTTTAAAGGCAGGTTTTGATCATTTAGATTAATTGCTGCAGGATAGCGTCTTTCTTTCTGCTGGCATTTTGTGTTTTTGGAAATGTATCCTGTGGAACATTTAGCTTGATTTGTTTGTCAACAAAACAATAATTTAGTTCTCATTCGTTATTTGGTTTGAACCCGAGAATTGAAATGTCGATTTTGTCGATAATGTCGAGGTCTCAATAGTACCGTGATGTCTATGAAAAGTCAATATTAATGGACATTCTTTTAAAAAAAATTGTAAAAATCAAGTAATTTGTATA